GTTTGTTGAAAAAGAGATTTAGGGTTTACATATAAGAATGATTAAATTACTTACGTTTTTTGCCCATTTCAACGGTTGCGTTGTCACAAATTGTCGTCGAATGTGATTTTGACGAAGATAGACCTTATGGATGTTCAACAATGGTGATTCCACAATTTCGGCGACCGACGGCGTAGGGATGACGAAGAAGATGATGAGACGATGTGACGATGGAACAATGAGAGTCTTCTGGGCATTGAGATGATATGGAATACAGTTTTGGATTTTTGGAATGGTAGAGATATTGTGCGTGATTTCCTGCAAGAAGAGAGGGGAAGAGAGAGACGGTTATTTGATTCAAAGAAACGATAGGCGCGTATTTATTTGAGGGTTTTTTTGGTCTTTTAGTATGAAATGGGACCTAATGAAATATTACAAAATACTATGGGTCCTATGGAATAGGACTCTTAGAGAGTGGATTTATTGAAAAAACTCCCTTAAAATATATATATATATATATAATATATAATTTTTTTAGTTAGATGTTGAACACCATAACTCTACCATGTAAAAAAAGAAAAAAGAAAATTATGGTTTGGATTTTACCCCCAAAAAAAACAAAACAAAAGTTATATATAATAGGATTTATAGCGGAAAAAAAAAAAGAATAAGACTTTAAATATGTATTGTAGAACCTTGCTAGGGGTCACTCCCATTAGGGATCCAAGGCATTTATGATGTATTATGGCGCTGTTTGGGAAGAGTAGATTGAGGCTATTATAGCCTCAAATGAAAAAATAGCCAAAAAACCCACTGTTCAAAGCTTTTTCAAAAAAAAAAAAAAAAGACTGCACAGCCGGCAGTGTAGGCACAGCCTACACTGTCAGCTACACAAATTGTTCCATCAATGAGTAAATTACGATTTTACCCCTTTACATCAATTTAAAAAAATATATTTTTAGGGACAAATTTGTCATTTTAACTTCAAACTTCATTTCAACATATTTTTCAATACAACAACTCAAATAAAATCCATCTCATTTTTCCAAACACAAAAACTAAAATAACTTACTAAAATAGTCAAAAAACTAAATAATCTATTAAAATAGCCACTTCCCAAACGATGCCTATATTAATCCAGAAGTTGCTTTTGGGAATTTCCATCCACCTTCTATACACAACACGTTTATTGTAGGATCACATATAGAATGGAGGAGTTGGATGACTTAAATTGACTCCTACAAGCCACCTTCGTTTCATGGGGTTGGTAATGATCACCATATGTATAATGGTGCCAACAATTGCATAAAATAATCCAATGGCAATACACTAAAAATAATTGGCACATCATTTTGATTTTCAATACGACATTTTAGATTGAAAAAAATTACAAATTAGTGATACGATAAAAAAATAATTTATTTTTATAGAATGTAAAGTTTTTCTTATGTATGATGCAAATTTTTTTTTTTGGATGAATGTGCAAACCTTTTATGTGCATTAGATTTACATTTAAAAAATTTCAAACTATGCTGTTTATTTGTGATTACCCTTTATAAATGGTTTCGTTTGGCTAAGTTAGTTGGGACTAAAAAAAAAAACAAAAGATAAAACATTTTAAATAAATTAATAAGATAAAATGTCACATTTAAATCATAATTATTTTATTTTTTCTCTCACAAAATTAAAAATATTAAAAAAAAATGCCAAACAAACTTTTTAATCCCAAATTAAAAAAAATTCAGTTCTAAAATGCTAACTAAATTTTTTTTTTTTGCCAAAACGACAACATATTGGGTTAGTCCTACAATTTTAAGATGGCTTGATGGAAAGCAAAAGTTTGATAATACTTTATGGGAAATGTTACAATGTACACCTTTAAAAAGGTGTATACGGTATGTATTTTATAACTTTTTCACAAAATTTCATAACTTAAATCCAAAATATCATAACTTTTTCACTATAAAAATCGTAATTTTTTTTTTATTGAAATATGTCATAACAAAATCTCAAAGTGTCATAACAAAAATCATAAAATGTCATAACATTATTATTCTTAACTTTAAGGTGCGCATTATAAATTCACTATTTATAATTTTATTACAAAATGTCATAATATACATTACAAACAATCATAACATTCATCATAAAAAATCATAACTTTTTTACAATATGCACCATTTGAATGAGTGCACATTGTAAATTTCTCCATATTTTATTTATGATAAGTTGATTGGACAAAAAATGAATAAGATGTTGTTGATATTTGTGTAAAATAGTTGTGGAATTCTAAATAAAAATATTATGAACTCACTTTTATCAACTCATAATTTATTCTAAATGTGTTTGTCCAGTAAAAATTAAATTAATGAAATGTGAAATTTATAAGTAAAATAAATTTAAATTATTAATTATTTTTTCTAAATAAATTATGAGTTTATAAATTTGAATTTATAGTATTACTGATTTCTAAAATGAATGTTAGGTGAAAAGGATGGAATAAAAATACAAACCAAAATAAAAAGCAACTGGGGACCTAGGCAGCGGATTGAAAGTTTGTAATCAATAAGAACATCTCCAACTCATTGCATCAAAATTTTTAATAAATTTGAATAAAAATTTAATGAAAAAGTTGATTTGATACAATGCATTTTAATAATAAACTCAAAAATTTTATCAAATCTTGGTATAAATCCGATCGTTTGGAAGGATGTTCGAGAGAATGTCCATGAGTAAAAATTGACGTTAAGATAAATAAAGTCCTGTTGTCCGGGAGGACTTCTGGGCTGACGTCTGGCCCAACGGCTACTTGAAAAATTAGGTGAAGAATAAAAGCTTCTTCAATTTGATATCAGTTTGATAAAAGGGTTAAAACGGACATTTAAGACGTTTTTCATCGTATTTGAATTTCATGAAACATCTTATGCAACGTTGGAAATGGCGTAACACATTATTATTCTACAAGTATACAATAAATTCTACAATTGGAAAATTTACAAATAGATAAGTAGAATAGAGAATAAAATAATGGTTAAGAATTATTATGTATTACTAAAAATATTTTATGGAAAAGCTTCTAAAACGCCAGAGAGGGAGGATGCCGGAGAGGGATTGAATTATATAGATTTGGATTGAATTTTATACTTTGATTTAAATATCTCCATCACCGTGTAAGTCATATTTCTTCATCTATTAGTTTGGATTTGTCTATTCCACTTTGAAATTTTGTCATCTTAATTGAGCATCCTATTTAGCCTTTATTTTTATAATTGCAATTCAAAGAATTATGAAAAAAAAAGTTGTAGCGACAAATTTTAATTTTATCATTTTGAAATAAAAAAACTTGTCAAGGTGACTTATGTTTTTCACAATAAAAAAAAAAAATGCTTTATATTTTGAAAATGTCACTCTCACATTATTTTGGTTGATATAAATTTATGAAGTTTTCATTATTTATTTCTTAAAAATGTATTGGATATGGTGCACGCATTTATTTTGAAGTTGAAAAGAATATTAAGATCGCTTACAAAAATATCATTTTCCAAAAATGCATTGACATACAATCTTTTTGGATGACAACATGTATTATTCAATTATTGATATTTCTGTGACAACTATATGTATAAAGATCACAATCACTGCATTTGATTTTGAATTTTCAAAATTATTTTTTAAATTTTTAATACATATTTTTTCAGTTTTAATGAATTTTTTAATATTTTAATTTTTTTTCACTTTTTAGATTAACTTAATTTAGATGCAATTAAAAAGCGAAGAAATCTAAAAAAAATTCAATAAATTAAAAAAAAACTAAATTTTTGTATTTAGTAAATTTGTAAAAAAAAAAATCATAAATTTTGTATAATATTCGTTTGGAAACAAACTATATTTTAATAATTTTTTGACTTTTTACAAAAAGATGTGCAGAAAAGTAAAAAAAATGATTTGATAACTTATAATAACTTTTATCTTTTTGACTAAAACTGAAAGTTACCAAATGAGTGAATCTAAAAGTTTTTAAAAAAAATTTTTGATTAGAATATTAAAAATGTTCACCAAAAATTAAAAAATTATTTTAAAAACTCAACCTCAATTAGACCTAAGAAAGCTCCACAAATTGATACAAAGACATGAGAACAAATCCATTTTATTTTTGACTTTTTATAAAAAGATGTGCAGAAAAGTAAAAAAAATGATTTGATAACTTATAATAACTTTTATCTTTTTGGCTAAAACTGAAAGTTACCAAATGAGTGAATCTAAAAGTTTTTAAAAAAAATTTTTGATTAGAATATTAAAAATGTTCACCAAAAATTAAAAAATTATTTTAAAAACTCAACCTCAATTAGACCTAAGAAAGCTCCACAAATTGATACAAAGACATGAGAACAAATCCATTTTATTATCAAGGGTAAATTATGTTTACATTCTTAAATTTTGTTTAAATTACTAATTATTTTTTGTAATTTTAAAAATTACAAATACGCTCTTATTAAAAAACTTATTTAACAAAATTAAAAGAAAAAATAAAATTTCTAACTATTTTTTATATAATAAAAAAATTGTCTAAATTATTAATTAAAATATATTTATGATATTATTAAAAACCGTTAATTGATTTAATAATTTTTTAATAAAAAATTTATTTGCTATACAATTCCAAATTTGAAGGGACAAAATTTAATTTTTATAATTACAAGAAACAATCCGTGTTATAAATAAACTTGAGAAATATATTTGTAATTATCCTATTATTAATGACATAAATATTAAGAGGAAAAAAAAAAAAATTCAACAAGTGGCACGCAAGAGGTTTAGATAGCACCATCAAATTATACGACCGATGGTTCACATCGCCGTCTGAAACAAAACGCACACGGCGCACGTTAGACAACAACGAATTCTTTCTATTTTTTCGATTACACAGCATTATAATTACGTATATACTATGATACTATAAATGCATGATTAATTTCTCGGACAATTCGTCAAATACTACAACTTTTTTTCTACATATATACAAAGAAAATCTTAAGCCGTTTGATCTCAGATTTGTCCGAAGAAGAGTTTTGATTTCCACTCAAAAAACCCCAGATTTACGCGCAAAAACCTTGAAAACCATATCGGTTTCAGAGCTTTATACACACCAGTTTTGTTTGATCCGTGAGTGCTTCTGTGTTTCATTTTTGTACTACTAATGTGGGTTGAGTTTGGATTTTGAGTTCAATTCCATTGTGGGTTTTTGGTTGGTCACTTTCTTTGTCTTTTCTTGATTGGTTGTTGTGTTTATCTACAGTTGATCTGTACTTGCTCTTTCAAATTCCATTGATTTGTTTATATACCCAATTGTAAAATAGAGAATTTTTATTGGGTTTTGAGTTCTAGACTTTGTGGCAGTGTTTTGTATTGGCGGGTTGGTGTAATTGGATTAGTTTAGTGGAAACTGAGTTGTGCCTTTAGCTTTTGGGGCAATTTGGTGAACAAGGTCTGAATTTTGAAGTGAATTTAGGGAGTAGGGAAGAGGAATTACAGAGTTTGGTGTTGATGAGAGGTGGCGGTGGGAGATGAGAGAGGAAGCTGGGGGAGGATTGGGGGGACAACAATGGTTTGGTGTTGATGAGAGGTGGCGGTGGGAGATGAGAGAGGAAGCTGGGGGAGGATTGGGGGGACAACAATGACTTCAGTGTCATTGGGTCTTCGTAGTTCAGGAAGCAATGGATCATTGCAACAACAGGTTCAAAATGGTGTGTTGCCAATGCAGACACCGCCGCCACTTGCAGCCCGTAAGCCTTCTAAGATGCCCAAAGAGAAGGAGAGTTTGTTCTATTGGATCTGTAAACTTGCCGGCCGCAAGAAGATTGGAATGCTGCTCTTGTGTTTTGTTTCAGCTGCAATTTTTGTATGGGTATTGGATTTTGGCAAAGGTTTGATATCCCCTTTTTCTATACCCCTTTTCAATAGGTTGTGCGTTGTTTGATTTCTACTTAGAATTCATATATATATATATATAGTGAGGAAGGTGGGAAAAGATTTAATATGAGATATTAGTTTTGAATGTTAAATGTTCTTGGGAATGATCATGATTATGATTCTGCCATTAATTTCTGCTTAACTGTTTTGAGTGGAGCTGGGGCACTTCATTTCTTGAGTGAATCTTATGAATAATCAGTGGCCCAAATTTTAATGTCTCATCAGATGCTAATCAATGTAATCAACTTTCTTATTATTATTATTATTTTTTTTTTTTTTTGCAGAGATTCACATTAAATGTGAGATATTAGTTTTGAATGTTAAATATTCTTGGGAATGATCATGATTATGATTCTGCCATTAATTTCTGCTTAACTATTTTGAGTGGAGCTGGGGTAGTTCATTTCTTGAGTAAACCTTTTGAATAATCAGTGGCCCAAATTTTAATGTCTCATCAGATGATAATCAATGTAATCAACTTTTTTTTTTCCCTTTTTTTTTGGGTAATGAGTTTGGATTTTTATCTATCTGTGGTATGCCCTATTTGTGACCAAATTTAGTAATTGGAATGTCCATTTATTTTAGGTGAGGAGATTTCCCCTGAATGGGCTTCTGCCCCTTTAATCTTTACTTATGTTAATTACGACATTTCAACTTTGATCCAATGTATAATATAAGCCTTTGCCTAGTTGTTGCTTTCCTCGATGATATATCTCAATTTAGATGTTGATAGGTTGTGTTTCATGTTCATTTGAGCAAATAAGTAATTGTGCATTTCCATGTGTATGCAGGTGAAGATGCACAGGAAAGTGATGGTATAGAGAGCATTAACAGAAACATGCTGTTGAATTTGAGCTATCCTGAATCTTCACCCATATATGGTGAAGAAAATAATGATGCAGTGAATAATATGGGAAGTAGCGACAGTCTATCACAACCTCTTCCTCCTCATCCTTATCCTCCGCCTACATTTTTTACAGGATATAATCTTCCTCCTGGGAATCCATGTGAAAGTTTCACATTGCCTCCCCCACCAGCCGATAAAAAAAGGACTGGACCACGTCGTAAGTTTGAGCTCCTATAAATTTTGGAGTTTCTATCAATCGTTTCTGCAAATTATAATGTCAACACACATAATTATGTTAACAAAAATACACAATGATAGTAACTAAAAAATACCTATTTTCGTACTAAGGATGTTGATTTATAACTATGAAGTTAATTTCGCTGATTTTTTTCCCCCTGACTTTCAGCATGTCCAGTATGTTACCTTCCAGTGGAAGATGCCATTGCCTTAATGCCTAAGGTCCCATCATTTTCTCCTGTACTTAAACAGTTAACGTATATTCATGAAGAAAATTTGACTAAGAGCGAGTTTGGAGGTTCAGAGTTCGGTGGATATCCTTCTCTGAGGCAGAGGAATGATTCATATGATATAAGAGAGTCAATGAGTGTGCATTGTGGGTATGATATTCTTTCCCAGGATGCTCTATCTGAAATAAACATTTGACCCCTAATGATTGTTTTCCTTTAAAAAATTTCCAGGTTTATCTTTTTCTCTTCTTCCTTTCTCTTTTTTTTTTTTTTAATGTCATTCACTGGTAAGAACACACAATATCTGTGTTCATTTTGCTTATTGATTGATACATATCTACACCAACAGATTTGTCAGAGGAAGTAAGCCTGGACGTAAGACAGGATATGATATTGATGATCCTGACCTCCTTGAAATGGAGCAGTGTCGTGGGATAGTTGTTGCCTCAGCAATCTTTGGTACAGCTCTTCATAAGCCCATTAAAAATTTCATTCCTATGTTTAAGCCTGTGGGTTGCTATTCTAATGAGTGTAGTCTTGACCAGGTGCCTATGATTTAATACAACAGCCAAAGAATATTAGTGAAGTTGCCAAGAAAACTGTTTGCTTCTGTATGTTTGTGGATGAGGAAACAGAAATATTTCTGAGAAATTCTAGTCTACTGGACAGTAGCAACAAGCATGGCTTGTGGAGAGTTATTGTTGTCCATAACCTTCCTTATACTGATCCTAGACGCAATGGAAAGGTAAAATTTTCAAATTGATCCAGTTCACACCTTAAATCTAGTTAAACTTTGGCTTATTTACTAGTAATAATTGCTCCTGCAGACTTTTTGTTTACAAAGTTCTTCTGTTTGGTCGATATTGTTTTAGAAGACAAATGCATGGGAAATACATATTGTCGAATGATACTGTTTTTTTCCCTTTTACATCACGAGTCATTCTTTTCTCAGATGAATTTGAGGGACATGTAGTTGAAGTAAGAAACACTTTCATTTAATAGATCATTAGATGTATGATCTATTAGATGTAATAGATCATTAGATGTAGTTGAAGTAAGAAACACTTTCATCACGAGTCATTCTTTTCTCAGCTTGAAATGGTTGCTGCGATATCATACCTTTTGACTCAACTCTACTCTAATACTTCTCATGCAAAGAGATACCTTGTTGCCATAGTAATAGTTTGTAACCAATTTAGTTGGTAAGAGTAAAATGAATGACCTGAGTCTTTACAGACTTCAACCAATTAACTATACAATAAAAGCTTAGCTGAAATTTGTATGCAAAACGTTAGACGGACAATTTGACATATCTGAGATATGAAAAATGAATTGTTTCCTTTTGAAATGGCACATTTATTGACATCATCAGGTAGTGCTTTAAAATGATTTGACGCAGTTTATACCTATTTCAGGTTCCGAAGCTTTTACTGCATAGGCTTTTTCCTAATGCCCGCTACTCTCTCTGGATTGATGGAAAACTTGAGCTTGTTGTGGATCCATATCAAATCCTTGAAAGGTAATTCTAATATTTTTTTCTTTTTTTTCTTTTTCCTTTTTTTGTACGCAAAAAGGTAAAGAAGTTTTGCAAAAGCTTGGTCAAAACGATTTCCTAGTTCATGATATACTGGGTCTTGAATTGGATCAATTAGTTTTCCAATTGATCCCTCCAACACTTAATTTTCCATTTATTTAGTTTCTCTTCTCTTGGATTGTATCATGAGTGGGGTATGTCATTAGTTGCCATGCATCAGATGATGCGTTTCTGGGCACTTGCTAAAAGGTTAACCCCTAAATATATTGAATTTGGACCAGATCAGGGGTGATCTTAATCCTGTCACCTTGGTAAAATTGATTGATTGATCCAACCTGATAGTCTTCCAGATCAAACATCTATAAATCTTAACTTGGATTCACTAGAAACCGGACATCTGATCCAATAATCTGGTCTTACACAAGGGTTGTCCAAGCATTCCCCAAGTCATACTTGGATGTCAGGCTTCCCAGACCAAACAAAATCTCCTTGATGCTTTTCTAATGGTTGTTATGGACTTGGCTTGAGATTGGCCCACAATGCAAAGTCAAAGTTGTGATTATTCCTTAGCTAATCAGTTGCTACTACCGTAGAATATTTTACTGGTCGGCTCTATTCATTCCTTTTTTCCTTCTTACTTTCCCTTTATATTCGTTGGGTACTTGCTTTTAGATTTCTTTCTTTTATGATATTGCTTGAGAGGGTATTTCATCCAAGAATTATTTTTGAGCAAAGATTTTTTTAAAATCTCATGGGGACTAAACTGGTGGTACTTTTTTATTGAAACATCTTACATTGTTTCATTCTGCAAGGGATTTAATGTGCTGCTTTGCTTTCTTGTGGGTCAACAGTATTTACCTTGTTGTCCTACTTACGATGCAACATTCGTAGAATATAAGTACAAATGTTGATTCTTATGCATAAGCTGCCCAACAAATAGGTTTATACTTTACTCTTTTCAACCTTGTGCCATGAATAGCTAGTAAAGAGTAAGTGATTGTATTCTATAAAAGGGTTCTGTATATCATCATCTTACCATTTTACCTTTGGGCAAATATGCATGCCAACACTAGACTGATGGATATGCCTTTTTTCCGTGAACTTTGATCTGCATTTACCCCCATAATTTTGTCATTTCAAGTTTGCAACTTATCTTCCAGGTTCTTGTGGCGGAAAAATGTCAGTTTTGCAATATCCAGGCATTATAAACGCTTTGATTCATTTGTAGAAGCCGAGGCTAATAAGGCTGCTGGGAAGTATGATAATGCCTCCATTGACTTCCAGATTAATTTTTATAGAAATGAGGGTTTAACCCCGTACTCTGAGGCTAAGCTTCCCTTAACAAGTGGTATGAATGTAATCTTTATCATCTTTTTCTTGTGTTGATTGCATTTTGTTTTTATGTTTGATATTGGTTTTTGTTATATGATCTGATTTGCAGATGTTCCTGAAGGATGTGTGATAGTAAGAGAGCATATTCCGATCTCCAACCTCTTCACTTGTCTTTGGTTTAATGAGGTTGATCGTTTTACTTCCAGAGACCAGATTAGTTTTTCTACTACAAGGGACAAGATTATGGCAAAGACAAATTGGACTATCAATATGTTTTTGGACTGTGAAAGGCGGAACTTTGTAGTTCAGGTAAAAAAAATTTCTTTTTTTCAGCTTATACATTAACAAGAAATTGTAGCCCCTGATAAAGATAGAAATCATAGGGACTTGCTTGCTTCTTTTTGATACATGACTGCTTCGATTATCATGTGTTCATTAGTAAGTTTATCAAGGGTGGATATGGTTGTGGAAAAATTGAGTCGCTCCGTTTTGTTTAATACGCTACACATACAAGCACGGTTTTCCATGTAAATGACATCCACAAGTGATCTACAAATCTGGGAACTTGTTATCTAATTTTAATTGAGGCAATGGTTCTCATTTTGCTTCCATTGCTTCATGCTTGATTTTGTGTTTTTATTTTTAAATCATTGGGGAAAACAACAGTTTTTTCTACTTATAGTGATTCGTAAGCATTTTTTATCATAAGTTTCTCTAATTCTTGTTCTTAGAGATCGTTCTTGCTTTCTGTACAACCTTTTCGATTTTTTGTATTTGTTTCAAAATTTCGAAAGGGCTTAAGTGAAGCTCGCTTCGAGGCTTGGTTAAGGTAAAATGCACCGAGGCTTTAATTTTTAGGCAACACTCCCCACAGGCTTGGGCATCATAGTATGAGGCATGCGCCTCACTTGCGCCTTGTACACCTTTCGTTCACAAGCATGTTGTCTTGAACTGTTGTTAATCTCAAGTAACTAAAAAAAAACTAAAACTTGTTTTGTAACTACATTCTATGAAAAAAATCAATTAAATGACCAACCAAGAAAAAATATAAAGTTAAAGCTCAAGTGAGAAACTTGATAACAATGTCGATTTCACCTTCAATAAGGGCAAGCTTCCATCCTTGCAGTTGACGCCTTGGGGGAAGAAGTGCACTTTTTGCCTTTTTAAATTTTTTTGTTATTTTAAAATATTTTATTTATTTATTAAATATAAAAATTTAAAATTCAAAATTCAAAATTCAAAATGCTTACAGCTCGCCTTGCCTCATAAGTGACAAATCACCTTGCGTACACATTCGCCTTTAAAAAACATTGTTTGTGTCTGACCACAGTACCGTGATATTGTTTCCCATCATGTTCCATTTTCACTTGTGTTTCTAGTGGCCAGATTAAATGTATGCAATTCAACTACTTTATAATCCATACTCTTTCCTTTTATCGATTCAATTGAAAATTTTCACTTCTGATATCTCTCTCTCTCTCCCTCTCTCTCTCTCTCTCATTGTACTGTCAATTTGTATCTGCTTGCAGGGGTACCATAGAGATGTTCTTGAGCACTGGGCTCCTCCGCCTCCTGCTGGTGCTATTGCTGTTCATCCTCCGCCACCTTTTACTGATGAAGAACCAAATAAAACATCATCTGAGATTTTGACGGGAGGTATTGTTGTACGTACTCCAATTAAGAAGACCCCAACGAAGCGTGGGAGAGAAAGGAAATCAAAGCGTCACCGCAAGGTTGCTGCCGGTGCCAGTAATAGGGACACCAGTGCAAGTTAAAGATTTATTTACACAAATTTTTACTTTTCTCCTTCCCCATTTAAAATCATTCATTATGGGGCTGGGAATGTGAGCAATATACAAAGTGTTGTAGTTGTGTTTCAACACACAACAGTGTCAATTTTTTTTTCAAGTGTCAATTTTATCCATTTTTTGTTGTATATATATATATATATATTTAAGTCCCCAATAATTGTTACATGGGTTGCTGCCATTTCTTATATGGGGTAGCCCATTTTGTTGTTTTACAGTAATATTATATTGGATCTCAATTAGTCAATTTTAAAGTTTATTTACATCATCAATGAAATTGTTGAAGTTCATTTTCTCAAGTGTGAACTCTTTCATTTCAGTTATTGTATGTTCCATTTATTGTGGCAATGAGAGTACCGATTTAGGTGGATGATAAGAGTTGGTTGTGATGATTTAATTATGGTATGGTGTTTTCATTGAGGTACGAAGTCTTATAATAAAATAAAGGGTAAATTAAGTTTTATTAAATACAAATCGTCTTTTATGGTTTTGAAAATTACATTTCACCTCTTGAAGTTTTTAATTTCATAACAAATCGCCTATTTTATTAATAAATTATCAAGTTAATTAACAGTTTTTAATGATGTTAAAAATATGTTTCAATTAATAATTTAGGTAATTTTATTATTGTATAGGAGAGTAATTATGAATTTTATTTTTTTAGCTAATTCTGTTAAATAAAAAATTCTAATATGGGAATATTTGTAATTTTTTAAATCACATGAGACAATCTGTATTTTAATTTATCCTAAAATAAATCATGGGGATTTTTATTGATAAATCTCATTTAGAAGTGTTTTAACCTAAGAAATCCATGAATGAATTTTTTAATCTATTTAGTCTCATGTATGTATAGTTTTATTCTATAAAGTCCTTTTTCTTGATTTACACTATTTTCTTAGACACTTATGCCCTTATATTGTTAATCATATTATTTAATTTTGATGATGTCTAAAATATATTAGTTAATATACATATTATTTGACACAAATTATTATCTTTTTAAAATATATATATTTGTTAAATATTATTTAAATAAAATAATATTATCTTTTTAAAATATATATGTTAAATATTATTTTAAATATTTTCAAAAACTTTACTATTCACTTTTTGAAAAATAGGGTTAATTACTATTCATCTTTTGACAAATCGATTAATTATATTATTTTGACAAAAATGATTATTTTCGCCTCTCTCTCACTCATTTATTTGAAAAATAGGGTTAATTACTATTCATCTTTTGACAAATCAATTAATTATATTATTTTGACAAAAATGATTATTTTAAATATTTTCAAAAAACTTTACTATTCACTTTTTGAAAAATAGGGTTAATTACTATTCATCTTTTGACAAATCAATTAATTATATTATTTTGACAAAAATGATTGATTGGTTGACAAATTTGATATTTATGGGTTGTCTTATTTTGACAAAAGTAAGATTGGATGTAAAATATATTTTAGTTTAAAATCTCTACAACATATACAATATTTTAAAGAGGACATATATTTTCAGATCCATCATAAATATAATTTATAGAGATTTTTCTGTATGCAAAATTTTGATCAGAACTTATATAACATTATATGCAGAATACATCACGTGCGCTATTAAATTTTTTACATTACATTGATTATATCATATCACACTACACTACATTGATTATATCATATATAATTAAACAAGAAGAAAAAGATGAGTTATATATATATATATATATATATATATATATATATATATATATATATATATGTGTATATATATATTATAAACTAGATGGAGAAAATTATTTGTTTGTTTGAAAGTTGTGAACTTTGTATTAAATTGTCTACAAAAAAGGTGGTGGTCCATGTTTGAAATAATAAAAAGAAAAATCATTTTATTTTTTATCTTTTGCTCACTATTCAAAATCAAGGAGTGTGCTTATGTAAGCGATGACATCAAGAGTGTGCTTATGTAAGCCATGACATCAGGAGCGTGCTTATGTAAGCCATGACGTCAGGAGCGTGCTTATGTAAGCCATGACGTCAGCAAGGAGCGTCCAACGGTATAATTTTGTGTATAAATATAAGTGTTGTGTGTGGAGATATCATCAAGAACTTGAAGAGAAAATATTTCTGTGAGTTCCAAAATTCTTAGTATTCTGTCTTTCACTTTCAGGTCTAAGTCTAGCTTTTGTTCTTACACTTTCATATCTACTCTTTGTGAGAGAATTATTGTAAAAGTGGTTCAATTACCACTATTCTTATTCCTTATTTTTGTGAGAGATTTTGTAAGGTAAGGCATTTATTGTTGAGTGAGGATCAATAGATAAGAGTAAGTCCTGTGCCAAATCCACAAGCTTGGTGGTGTATTTATTCAATTGATAGTAAAGAAATTCTCAAGGAGGTTCCTTGGGAAGTGGACGTAGGCCTGGCGTGCCGAACCACTATAAATCGCAGTGTTTGATTTTCTCTCTCTATCTCTTCTACTTTATATTGATAATTATTATTCTGTTTTTTTTTATTTATTAAAATTCTGAATATTGTGTTATTTTAATATTGTGAAATTTTTATAACCCAATTCACCCCCCCTCTTGGGTTGCCTATCTGGATAACATATTTAATGATACCCTTATAAATATTTTTTGAACAGTTAGCAATTTTATTGATGTGAATATTTATATTTTAAAATTCACATTGGTAGGATTGTAAAATTGGCCCGTGGGTGGCCCGAAATCCGCTCGCGAGCCGGGGTGGGCCCGGCCCATTGACAATATGAATATTCACATTGATATATTAACATTCACATTAATAGAAGTATAAAATTGGCCCGCGTCCCGTGGCGGCCTGGTCCGCGCCCGTTGACAATGTAAATATTCACATTGACATGTTAACATTCACATTGATAAGAGTATAAAATTGGCCCGCCGGCCCATAAGCAACCAAAAGCCTGCCCGTGGCCCGGGACAAGCCCGGCCCGGCCCGTTGACAACGTAAATATTCACATTGACATGTTAACATTCATATTGATAAGAGTGTAAAATTAGCCCGCGCCTCGTGGCTTCCCGAGGCCCGCCCACGGCCCGTGGGTGGCCCGGGGCGGGCCCGGCCCAGCCTGTTAACAATGTGAATATTCAAATTGACATGTTAACATTCACATTGATAAAAGTATAAAATTGGCTAGCGGCCTAGGGTGGGCCCGACTCGGCCCGTTGACAATGTGAATATTCACATTAACATGTTAACATTCACATTGATAAGAGTGTAAAATTGGTCCGCAGCCCGTGGGTGGCCCGAAACCCAACCGCAGCCCGAGACGGGCTTGGCCCGACCCGTGACATTGTGAATATTCACATTGATATGTTAACATTAACATTGATAGGAGTGTAAAATTTGCCCGCTGCCCGAAGCTTGCCTGCGACCGGGGTAGACCCGGCCCAGCCCATTGACAATGTGAATATTCACATTGACATGTTAACATGCACATTGATAGGAATGTAGAATTGGCCCGCGGCCCGTGGGCTGCCCGAAGCCTGCCCACGGCCCGGGGTAGGCTCGTTTGGGTCCGGGCCCGAGCCGGTGGGTCGAGCCTCGAGTCGGGCCGATGGGCCTGGGCCTAGCCTCAGGCTTGGGTCGGGCTTGGGCGAGCCTGGCTATTTTTTTTTAATTCCTTTTAATTTTTTCTACCAAAATTTTATTATTTTCCACAAAAAAAGACACTAGGCCTCGACGCAGGCCGGGCCTCAGACCGAGCCTTGAATGGGCCTTAACCGAGCCGATGGGCCGGGCCGGGCTTCAAAGTGATGGCCCAGGCCCTAGCCTAGGGTCTCAGACTAGGCTCGAGCCCGGGCCCAAACGAGCCTTTCCCTGGCCGCGGGCAGGCTTCGGGCAGCCTACGTTCTTTTTGACTATTTCATTAAGTCCTATTTGAGGTAAGAAGACCAAAATACCATTTTCATCTACTTATATTCTATTTAGTCCACATTATTTTCTTATGTTTCAATAAGTCCTATGGGAGACATAATTACCAAAATACCCATAATGTAAATGTTCACATCGTCAATGTGAATGTTCATATCATCAATGGGTAGAGGCCCGGGCGGCCCATATCGAGCCTCGTGGGTGTCCGAAAAAATCCAGCCCGGCCCACGGGCCAAAAAATTAGGCCTAAGCCCTAGCCCTGGCACAAGGGTATTCGGGCCTTGGACGGGCCGATAGATCCAGCCTCGGGTCGGGCCGGTGGGCCTGGGCCTAGCCTCGACCTTAGGTCGGGCTTGGGCGGGCCTGACCATTTTTTTTTTAATTCTTTTTAATTTTTTCTACCAAAATTTTATTATTTTCCTCAAAAAAAGACATTGCGCCTCGGGCGGGCTGGGCCTTCACTCAATTCAATTCAAAACTTAGCCCGAACTCTGTGAGTAACGATTGTGTAAAGATATGTTCACAAATGATTATTTTCTGAACAACTGAACTGTACTGTTTTCTGAACTCTTTACATACATATATACAATTAGGGGTGCAACTCGGGCGGGCTCAACCCGAGCAACCCGAGCCCAGCCCGAGTTTTTTTAGGGCTTGGGCAACTATATCTTGTAATTTGGACGGGCTTGGGCAGATTTTTGATGCCCGAATTGCAATTCGGGCCGGGCTTGGGCAGAACCAATGGCCAACCCGAGCAACCCGAACCCGAATTCAATTTAATATATTATATAAATTATATAATATATAATATATATATAATTTAATAAATTATGTAATATATATAAATTAAGTAAAAGAGTTAGTCTTAATTTTTATTTATTTATTTATTTTTGGTTAGTCTTCTATTAAGTAAAAGAGTTAGTCTTAATTTTTATTTATTTATTTATTTTTGGTTAGTCTTCTATTAAGTAAAAGAGTTAGTCTTAATTTTTATTTATTTATTTATTTTTGGTTAGTCTTCTATTAAGTAAAAGAGTTAGTCTTAATTTTTATTTTTTATTTTTTTTTGGTTAGTTTTCTACCATTAGATTAGCATCTTTTATGTCTACCCTTAGATCTACCTACACGTTTCAGGAACTCGGGCAATTCGGGCAACCCGAGTTCAAAATACAAAGCTTGGGCCGGGCTTGGGCAACAATGTTCGGGTTCATGGTCGGGCTTGGGCGGGCTTGGGCAGTGCCAAATACAATTCGGGTCGGGCTTGGGCAGACCCCCAACCCGACCGAACCCGCCCGAGTTGCACCCCTACCCTAGCCTAGGGTCTCGGACATGCTCGGGC